TAATGTGTAAAGCCAAATAATATATAGAATGTCATTTCGGAAATATGTGCCTCTCAAATCCAACGTGAAAAGAAAAACTACCGATTTTTTGGTCCACGAGTGGGGTAACGAGTCTATTTATATGTTTTTGTTTTAATTTATTAGATTACTCGATCAAAGCACCATCTGGCGATGAATAGTCTATTTTTTATTAAAGATGCATTATTGATCATGAATACATGATAGTATACTAAGATGTTTCGCATCCAGTGCTAATTTTGATGATCTGAACGATTGAGTCGTGTTATTTAATAATTTTATAATATTATGACGCCATAATATCATAGCGCTGTAATGCTAATCTGTATTTCACGAAACTTACTGTTACGTTTTCGTTTAAAAACTTGTTTTCTTTGCGGAAACAATTTTTTCTTGCAACATTTTTTAAAACTTTATTTGATTACCTTTAAATTTTTCTCTAACAGGATTAATTGATAAGGATGTAAATCGAAAAGAGAAAGTTGCATTATTTAAAAAGCAACTTCATCATCACCCGACTTCGGTGATCGATTTATCGTGGATTCAACAAAAAAAAGAATTTAAGCATTCTTTGAAGATTTAAAATAGAAAATAAAATTATAATGTGCTATGTAAAGGTTGTTCCAAATACCAATATTGGTCAACCTATGTTGCTTCAAACTCAGACACCTCAAGCACGTTATTGATGTTATTGCGTATTGCCATTATGCATAGTTGACTTTAAAAGTCAAACATTCGAAAAACATCAATTTAACACAAACTCATATATATGTAATAATAAAAGAACAGTTTTAATTTGTAAAGGCATTTTTATTTTAAAAGAAAATATACGGAAAAAAACAAGTAGATGTGATTCTTTATTCATCCCTGGGATGCACATTTTTCATAATTTAATAATCCTATTTTACCATTATCATTATTGCTGTTTGTATCAGGCGTTTTTAATTACGTCAAGTGGTTTTACTTACGTCAAGGACTTTTACTTTATATTTAGTCAAATCGTCAAAATGGTCTTGGTGATAAACTACCTTTAGTCGACACTTTAGTTACGTCAATAACTAGTCAAAAAGTTTTCGTTATACATCATTACCTGTGTCCTATTACTATGGAAAAGAGAAACTTATAAGAAAGCAGGACTAATAATACATATAAGAATAGCAATTAGCCAATAACCCAACAGAAAACATTTTCTGAAAGAACCAGTACTTCATCAATTACAGAAATCCTAATAATCCATCCATCGAGAAGAAATTGATATGCATGTAATTAATATATATACATATATATATATTATATATACATATATATATAATTATAAATCTATCTATTAATACAATAATAAAAATTATTATATATATAATTTTTTATACATCTATAACTTCTATCTATTTATACAAAAATTTATTATTAAATATTAATAATTCAAATAAATAGTAAATAATGAATTGAACCCCCCAAAAAAAAGGAAAAAAAAAATTATTTTCAATAAAATTTACCAAAAAATCTAGCACAAAATAATGATTCAGTCAAATCAACATCAACACAACTTAATATATTTTTCATTTGCTCACTATCTCTAACACCAGACCAATTTTTATTGATATATCTCAATGAAGTATTATTTAAATCTGAATTATTAGTATTCCATCCCAACAACAAAATCTCACTCCAATTATTTTTGTCAATCATTTTAATAAGTTTTTTTGTAGTCAAATCTTTTAATTCCTCCAAATCTCTCATATCTGCTTCTGAGTAAATATCTTTTAAAACATTAAATGATAGATTATCTTGAATTCTATTGGTGTACAAGAAATGTAAAATTTCTTTAAAACATTCAGATGATATATTATCATCCATCTTGATAACATTTGAATTGGATTCGTTCCATTCTCCATTAAACATTTTCTTAAAATAATCAGATCTTATTGATAATATTATTTTGCTTGCTTTCAATTGATTACCACAACCAAATTCGAAAGTTACATCACTAAATTTCCCATTATTAATATATTCTTCTAAATCAAAATAAACTGGGTTTTCAATGATTGCCAGTTGTTTGTTTGACTCTTCTTCCTCACTGGTATTTGCATTGATTTGATTAAAAGAAGGATATGTGAATTGGATACGAATCAATAAATTGGTTTTTTGCTTGTAATCTTTATCAGGAAATATTTGACTAATTTTACAAAATTCGGGTACGCCTTGACATGGTCTATCTGAATTAAATATAAATTTTTTCTCTGATAAATATCCATAACAATCCAACTTTTCTAAATTCTTCTCATCTAGAGCCAACAAGTAATTATTGTTGCCATTACTGTTACTGTTATTATTGATTCTAAAAATTTCCAACTTAAATTTCATAACTCTTGTTTCTAACTTATAATCTTGTTCATGTTCACTTTGAATAGGCCAAATGTACAATGATATATAACTATCTATATGTCTAGGTAATAATTTTAGCCGCCAAATAAATTCATGGTTATCTTTTAATATATTCCCATCTTCTGAATAAAGTGGTCCGGTTGAACAAAATTTTTCACTATAATACGATTGACAATTTTTATAACTGTAGAATTCTTGAAAATCTTCTATGAGCCAGTCATAAATATTTTTATGTTTAATTTTTACCATTACTATCAAAGTTTTTTAGTAATGAGAAATTGAATGAAATAGAGAATGAGAAAATGAAAAATAAAAGAGAAGGGTGATTTGGGACAAAGTTTATATTATTATTATTTCTTGGGGAAATGAATTTATTTTAGTAAAAAGATTTGTTTCCCAGTACTACATACATGTATGTTTTTGGATATTCAATCAACTTCAAAAAATTTAATTTAGCCAAGGCGATCAAAAAATGGGGAATGCCCAGTATTGATTTTCAATGCATGATTATTATCACTTAAAAAACAGGAAGATAGATATTTGACGCCTCTAAAATTTCCTGATGAGTCATCTGGTGATTCGTTTATTTATATCAGTAATCTATAAACTATTTTATAATTCTTGCTAAATTTGTTTTCATTATATAACCATCATCTCTTTGTTATTTTATATCAGGTCAAATGTCAAACAAAAAAAATTTTAAAATTAAAAACATCCTGCTAGTAATAAATTGTGCGTGAAAATGTGAATTTGCAATTCACATACGTGAAATTCAAATTAGCCAATCAGAATTTCATATCCACCCCAAAGTTTTATAATTATTTTAATTTCACATAACATTTCTTTTATAAAAAATTAAAAATAAATGGATTGTATTGCCAAAATGAGAATAACCGTGCCAAAATGAAAGAAAAGAAAATCATTCTTTCCTCCTGATTGTATACGATTGTAGGCTGTAAAGTTCCTTAAAAAATCATTTATGAAAATTAAATAATTAAATAATATATCAGCTCAAGTGTCAAATATAAATAAAATAATTCTTTTCATGCATGCACTTTCTTGTTACCTGGTTAAAAAATTTAAGGCAGCCATGTATTTTCCTTTCGGATAGTCTTGTAGTGCAGCTAATTGATTAATCATTACAATAATGATGATAAACAAGACGGATAAATTAAATTGCGAGTAACTTAATATATGAAATTTGAATGATATCTAATAACATGTGTATATATATATATATATATATATATATATATATATAAAATCAAAGTTTTTAGAGAACTTGAAAACCTTACTCTTACGGCATAAACTCTTTGGTCCGCAATTCGCCCATCATTAGATGATGCTTTTCGTGATCAAGTTCCTGAATATAGTAAAAGTTTCTTATAGGCTCTTTGAAAAATAAAAAAGGTAAAATGCTATTTCGATAAAACTTGGGACCTTTTCTTCTCATCCTAATTTCCATTGTATCATAATAGATTGAAGTCGGATTTTCTTTTTTGGAATTAATTTTCAAAATCAAACGCCAAATATCTTTTTTAAATAGATAAAATGATCAAAGAGACGTTGAAGATTAAACAATCTACGTATCCATTGTTGATACCAACGTAATATTGTTTATTTCTTGGTGTATCTTATATCACATAAATCACAGAATGTTTCTTTTTGACCAATGTAGTTATACGTATTCAAAAGTGATCAATATTTGTTTGTAGTATCAACCCATTCTTGAATGACTCGGAATTATGTTTGAATAGAAATAGAATTAACAATAAATGATCACGTTGGAGGTATTAGACATGAAGCAAATAAAGATATGAAGCCAAACAACACTTAAAGCTGAAGATTCCAAAAATTGATTGGGAATAGACAAATAAATAATATTTTATTGTGCATAAATCCTAAATCATTATCAACCTCGTAATCATAGAATTTTATTGTGTCCACTCCAATCCTTCATTAGATTATCAAAAGAATTTACATAACATACAAGGAAATTTATTAACTTTGCCGTCTATTTTATCCATAAAGGCTTTTGTAATTCTAATTTAGTACTTCTATATTAACCCTTGGTCTACTTCATCCTTATAAATATTGATAATTCTACTAGATTTTTACAACATTGTGCAATTTTTTGAAATATCTTTCCCAAAAATTCACTATCAGTCAGGCGACATTTCACGCGATCGACATGTCTACTGTAATAACTATGTAGAAATTTTGTGCAACATGTCAATTTTTACTATTAAA